AGACAAATTTAAGTACAGTTGCTTATAAACAAAAATGCGTATGATATAAACACTAACTTATAGACATATCCTTTACTGCAGCATTTAAAATGGTTATTTACTTTTTGAGAATCTCAACAAAATACAAAGTAAGATCTGTAATGTAATCACTCCTGACATCTTGAGTTCAGTCACTTTCTCACCCCTGTGATGTGGCTTCACTTTGTCTTGTCTATAAATATTTTCATGGCAATTGTTCTAATGACCTTTATTCCATGAGTTTAATCATACTATAGAAGTGAATGCGGAACAATCTCTTCAGAGAAGAAGTGGCAGAAATATGATTCTACAGAAGGATCCTGAGGATACCATAGACCAAATATATGAGAAACAACAAAGTTTTAGAGAGAATGGAAACAAAAAGGAAACTTATACTTAACATTAGGAATAGAAAGTTTAAATTTCTTGGGCACATAAAGAGGAAGTAGGGCTTGGAAAATCTGATACTCACAGGATGTTTTGAAGGCAAGATGGAGACAGGAAAATAATGCATAAGCTACTTAGTGAACTTGAGTAAATGAATGGCAGAACAAGGTGTAGGAGAAATAACAAAAAGACAAAAGTTATTAAGAGCTACCAAGAGTAGGAAATAGTGGAGAGCCATGATCACCTACATCCTGATAGAAAAGATCTCATTGTTGAGCTAGCTAGATGTAGCTATAACTTCTATTCTAATTGTTTGTTTTCTTGCACTTCACACCTGTGGAACTCTCTTCCAGTTTCTTGCTTCTGTGCCAAATGCAATTTTCAAAAAATTTTGTTGCCATCTTTTGTCTTGTTGAATACTGTTTTTTTTTTTTTTTTGTCCCTTCTTCTCAATACAGTCTTTTCTTTTTTGAACAGTCTCATTTAATCTTAGTGTCTTAGTGGCATTATTGCCTTGCTTAAAAAAATTAATGATTAAAAATATACTTGTATTTTTACGTTTTCCCTATTTTATCTTCCTGGCTTTGATTACTTACTGCCATTGATAAGTAAGATATTGGCGTACCAAAAATATAAAAACCATGACTAAAAGAAGACATAAAAATCAACTTACTTTTTTGCTCTAAAGATGTTACTTTGATAAGAAATGCTTTAAAATTTATCTTTTTTTAAATTTTTTATTTAATCAGTTAGGTTGGACAGTTGTGTTATGCATACTTTTGAAATGAATACTCATGCAATAAATATAATTTTGGTTGATTATCTATAAGGTATCCTTGTGCATAATGGATATGCAAGCCTACATGTGTGCGTTTTATATATATATATATATATATAGTTTATGAAAAAACTAGGTAATCCGTATGGGTAAACCTAAGGAGGATAAAATTCAGAGAGCTCAATGTAAATTCAGAGCAAATAATTTAAATAAAAACAGACCACTTTAAGGTTCCATGTAATAAATTATTTCACCATAATCTTTATGAACCCCCCAAAATAACACTTTCAAATTAAAGCAAAATAACACCGTCTGTTTCTAGCCTTTTTTTACAAAGAAAATTAGTGACATCTTCTTCTCTCTTAACTTGCTTCCCTCTTTTTCTCTCTATGAGTTTTTTCTTCTCTACCCCTTCGATATCAATATATAACTTCCGTTAAGTTAACCGTTTAAATGTGTCAATATCTGCTAACTCAATCATGTCTTCTCTCTCCCCCCTCACTTCATCACTTCATTAATTTACATATGTTTAATACGGCCCGTCAAAAATGTGTAAATTTTCTTTTCATTTTTTGTTTGGAAGTAAAGTCTGATGATCTGCAGTCCTTTTAAAAGGGCTGTGGTGAAATAATTTATTACATGGAACCTTAAAGTGGTCTGTTTTTATTTAAAATATATAAAAAACACATATACATATATGCATACCAGTTTAGGTGTTCTAGGGTCATATTCTATAAGTCTATACCATGATTTTTTTTTTCATTTTTAATTAGTTTCCTGATTTCATTGTTAAATTGTCTGGTAATTAACTGCCTACTAATTCTATTACATCTACAAATGAAAAGAATCTATATAAAATCAACATAAAAATTGTTACTTCTGCATCTAAAATCTAAGGAGGAGTTTATTCCATCACCTGTAATAATTGTCACAAAAAATACATAGGAGAAACCTTAAGTAATCTAAATAAAAGATTCAGGTATTCATTTATCGAGAATTTTGAATTCTCTGAACATATTTTTTTGAAAATTGAATTTTGTTGAATCATAGATCTGAGAAAGTTGTTGTATATAGTTGCCAGTTTAGCAATTTACACATTTTTGAACTTCATGTATGACATTCATATGAAAGTCAAGATATTTATGGGAATATAAGTTCTTAGGTTGATGTTTTGGTTTTGTAGCATCTTGCGGTATTTGGGAAAACTACCCCAAGTGCAACATATTCTATGTCCAATTTCCTTATTGGAGTCATTGTATACACACACACACACACACACGCATATATATATATATAACTATGAACCTAAAGAGCCAGGCAAACCTATCTAGGTTTCACCTCTGCGTATCGTCAAGGTACACTTGGGGTTTTGCTAGGGAGACTGGATTAACTTCTCCCAAATGCAGGCACATGGAGGCTGTTAACTACCCAGGTAACATAGCCCTTACCCAACTCTCAGCCATACCGACAAGACCCAAAGGAATATAGAGCATTACACTTGGGGCCCGGCTTGGCTTCAGGAGTTGGCAGCAAACCACCTTCAGAACTCCATTCCAATTTTTTTTTTTTTTTTTTTTATCTGGATCTACTTCCATAGCCTTTTCCAACTTTGGATGTGACTGCAAGGCGGTGGAGTTTTAAAATTGGTTTCCCTTCCCCAAGACAAGCAGCTGGATATGAGGCATCAGTCCTCTGTCTCTGCTTTTTCTCTGGCTTGAAGAAGATTATATATATATATATATATATATATATATGAGAGAGAGAGATATTCAAACATATTTTATTAATCATTTACCCTATTTATATTTGGACTATTGTCCTTATCTTTGTTGTTTTTATCACAATATTTCTGCCATTGTGGTCTCTAACCTTCCTCAGATGTATATCAATCTTGGTAATCAGCAGGGAATTCTAAACTGAACCATAGATTAAATAAAACAGCACACCATTTGGAACACTGTGATAAAAATAACAAAGATGATGACAATAGTCCAAATATAAATAGTGTAAATAATGATAACTCCTCATCTTAAAAATTCAGATAAATGTTATATTTTATTACATAGAACAAACACAGAATGTCTATTGAGAATTTTGGTGTGCATCTCCTGACTCTTGATGTTGAATTATCAATTTTGGTGGAAACTTATAAAAGAACTTCCTAAATTTAAATGTTAAGATCCAAGAACTTTTGACTATTGCTGGTTGTTTTCAAGGAAGAGAGACTAAAAGTGTAGAAATAACAAGTATGGCATTCATATTGCTGTCAGTTTAAATAAATTTATCAAAAGTCTCAAAAGAAATTCTGTCTATTGTATTCAGTAGAACATACTTGAATGAAGGGTTATTGCCTAAACATATTTTATTTAATATATATTTATATTTTATTTAATATATATTTATAAGCACACAAACAAATTAGGATGTTTCCAGAAGTTCTAGAATCGATTCATTTACCAAAATCTAAACAAATTATAAAACATCATATTTTCTTGTTTAAGATAAGAACTTTTCAGCAGCATCTCATGATAATAAAGTGTGAGAATTTCCTGTATGCAGTTCTCTTCATTATGTTATCAAAGGTAGTAAAGTATCTCAAATATACTGATATAATGAACATGACCAAGAAGTAATATCAGACAATACCAATTTAGTTATGGCACCATGAACACCTTCATCATGTCTACTCCATCAAAAGCAATACATATTTGATCAATTGATGATGTGTACCAATTTTGATAATATATAGAATAAATATTCCTTACAATTTATTTATATATATATGAGATTAATGTGAGTAAAAGTTTTTCACTTAACTGATTGATATCACTTTCAGCATCCTACCTCCAGAGTTTCGTAGGTGGACATGTCTGTCCACTCTTCAGGGGATATCAGCAATTTACTGCTTACATTTTATGATTTTTCTTTTTTATATACATTTAACATAGGTGTAAGTTTTTTTTATGTGTTTTTGTGTTTGCTTGTGCATGTTCAGCCATGTGCACACTTCTGTAGATCTACATAGAGTATCAAATATTTCAAATATAGGTATCAACTAAAAATAAGGTTTGAAGTAATAAATATATCAGATTTTAAATAAATCCATTAATTCTGTCTCTCTTATATATATATATATATATTGAATTTGTAGGTATGAGGAATTGAATTGTGATTACGATTCTAATGTAATAAATTATACCCATGGAATATTAGTGTTTCAGCCTTTTATATTATATATAAATGTGTGTGTGTGCATGCATATATATAAACTCACAACCATTAGAAATACACACACACACACACACACACACACATATATACATATATGCAACCATTGTATATATATATATATATATATATATATATATATATATATATATAATGTAATAATGTATAATTTTGTCATATTTTTCCAGTTTGTCATATTTTATGAATATATATTTATATGATATATATATATATATATATATGATGTGTGTGTGTGTGTATATATGTGTGTGTGAAGCTTTTTTATCTGTTTTTTATTTTTTATCTTAGAATGTTTTTTATTATTAATGTTGTATATCTGTCTCTTTTGATGATGACCAATTTTTTAAACTTTCTAATAAATCAGTTTTTAACAGACACTCTTAGATTCACCTACTATCAGTTGCCTCAGTATAAAATTGTTTTCAAAATGTATCATTTAGAATAAATTAATGCTGTTCACAACTTTCAGTATGTTTTATACAATACCATTTCCCATTTATACAGTACCATTTCCATCATTTCTCATTTAATTTCTCGCTTTAAGAATCTGTTGAAAAACTGAGCTTATGGTCATATGATATTCAAACACTGGTTCCTGTATGAGCATTGAAGTTAAGCAACATTGAGCCTGGTCTGTACCTAAATGGGTGACTGATTGGGAATACCAGGTGCTGCAGTCTTGGAATGTACAGATGGTATAATGGATAACGACTCGTAATGTGAAATCATAGAACCAAGTTTCATTTAGTAGGACTCAGTAAGTCATTATTATTTCCCCAAAATTCTTACAATCTAAAGCTATTTTCTGTATTTAAATAACCTGCAAGAGGTTGATGAGCCATAAAAAATCAATCAATCAGATGATGGAAAATCTTGGCTGTTTTTCTTACTTGGCTGAATCTTGTATTGTGACACCCCTCCTAAAGAAGCTTTTGGGTGATGGAATTACCTTTGATTCTATGCTACAGTTACTTGCTTCCTGTACATGTTCCATTCATAAACTTATCAAAATTTATAAGCGTAGCTTGAATCTTCTATCTGTGAGTTGTTCTAATTGGATCTGTGGTTAAAAAAAAAAAAGTTGGTGGGTGGGGAAATCCATTATGAACAAGATAAAGGATTCTGTTCAAAGATCTTTGAAGATTACCGGATGTAGTATATTCTGGATGAAAGCCAGAGAGCACAGTCCCTGAACTGTTGTGAGGGAAACAGCAAAGATGATGGAATAATTAATATTTTTAGAAAATCTCTCTCTCTCTCACACACACACACACACACACACACACACACACACACACATATATATATATATATATATATAAAATATAGATATAAATAAGAAATTCAGATCTAAATAAGAAACACACACACACACACACACACACACACACACACACAGATTTAGATATAAGTAAAAAAAATTTCTCCCCCTCTCACATACATACACAGATAAAAATGAAAATATTCAGATATAAATCAAAAATACATTTGTAAAAAGACAATATGAATAAAGATAAAAAAAGAAAATCTTTTCTTTACTAATGTGCTTCATTTTTTTATGGACTTTATCAAAACCTAAAGATATTTTTTACTTCTGTTTACAAATACAAATATTGCAGAATAAAATCCTTACAATTGCTTTGATAAGTCCATGAGAGGACGAGACACTTCATATTGGAGACCTGGTTGGCTCAGAATAATTTTCCTTTTTGTCTTTATTCATATATATATATTATTTTCATTTACTGTCCAGAATATTTGAGAAAGCTTATTAAAGATAATATGCACTCTCTGGCAGGATTCAAACTTGCATCCCCATGGGTAGAGGGAAATGTTGTGAGACCCTTCATCCTTTAACCAACTCAGCCACAAAGAACCTTTGCTGATCAAGCAAGGGTGAATAGTGCCTTTTAGTGAGATACTTGAAATTTTCATATCTGCTCAATTTTGTATCCAAAATTAAACAAAGCAATTTCTAAATAAGTGATGATTTTTTAAATTTATTAATTTGACAGATTTTATCACTTTAAATGTTGTTTTTAGTATATATATATATATATATATATATATATATATATATATATATATATATATATTAATTAAATTAATTCCTTGGATATTTTGTTGTCAGCTGCTTGTTTAAAAAAAAATGAACATTTTGTGTTGATCAACCAATGTGTCATTTTCTTACTAAAAATATCACGTACCGTCATGCTGTGTTCACCAAATCTTTTTGGTGTTTATTCAATTGGAAAAAGACACAATTCATTGATTGGAGTGTTAGAAAAACAATGTTTGCTGTCATCTAGTTGCTGATAAGAAAGTTGACAGTACAAATGTATGTCTTGATTTTTAATATAATTTTCATTCTGCATATGTTTATATATATATATATATATATATAGAGAGAGAGAGAGAGAGATTGAAGATTAATTCCCTATTTTATGTATGAGTGGCCTGCCAGGGGTCCTGATTTAACGCTCTGTGACTTTTTCTTTGGGGTTGCTTAAAGATGCAGGAGAAAATGGTTGGTTCACTGTACCACTCCAGTAAGTAACTGACTGCTTGCGCTACCTTGCATCCTTACAAGAGCTAGATCAGGCCTAAAATCAGTCAGTTGTGTGCCATATGTGATACACGCTTAGGTGATCATGTATCTTTTCAATACATGACTGACAAGGCAGACTTTTTTTTCCCTGCAATAGGTTACCATTTCTTTCTGCGGTAGACCAGTTGCCATCCAAGATCCTATAGAATCCGGTTTGTTCTGCTATTTACCTATAGCTTAGAAGAAGAGGATTCATACCTTTCTCAAGGGTATTAGCATGTAAGTGAATGTAAAATGGAGTACTATTGCCATATATGGGCAGGAGCTGCCCAGTCTTCACTTTAGTCTTGATAGTCCAAAAGTGTCTCAGAGTCCTTGTAGGTGACAAATTATTTTCCATCCTCAAACCTCTCTCTCTCTCTCACAGGTAGGATGTGGCAAGCTGCTCTTGAATAGCAGTCGGTAGGTTAGAAAAAATGCAAAATTTAAATACTATTTACACTATTTATATTTGGACTATTGTCTTCATCTCCATTGTTATTATCACAATGTTTCAGCTGTTGCACCCTCTGACCTTACTTGGGTATATATCAATCTGGGTATCCTACAGGGAATTCTGAACTGAACCCATTATTTAATCTATGGGCATAGACTATTCTTGTTTCATTGCTTATGTCTAGGGATATCATCTAGTTCTTATTTTTATTTAGTACTGTTTATTTATTGCTCACTGTTTTCTGCTGAGTACAAGTACATATTGCTCAACCGAAAAAAATAAAATAAAATAAAATTTAACTATTTGTACAGGCCATGAGTAGATCATGTTCTGTTAGTAATGTTTGTATTAATTCCTGACTATTGGAAATTCTCTTCTTGATTTTTTATTGATATAATACAGATTGAACATGAAAATTTTCTCAGGTGAATTCTAAATCAAAGATTTGAATTTTAAGTTTTACTCTTCTTTTGATGACTTTTTCTTCATTTATTTATCTATGATCTATGCAATCTTGTAACAAAACCAATATACATTAAAGTATGAATTAAATTAATTCCTTGGAAGATATTTTGTTGTCAGCTGCTTGTTTAAAAAAAAAATGAACATTTTGTGTTGATCAACCAATGTGTCATTTTCTTACTAAAAATATCACGTACCATCATGCTGTGTTCACCAAATCTTTTTGGTGTTTATTCATTTGGAAAAAGACACAATTCATTGATTGGAGTGTTAGAAAAACAATATTTGCTGTCATCTAGTTGCTGATAAGAAAGTTGACAGTACAAATGTATGTCTTGATTTTTAATATAATTTTCATTCTGCATACGTTTTTTTTTATAAACTTTCAATGAGATTAAAAACTTAAAACAATAGTACAAATAAAATGTCATGATACAAATATATAAATAGGACAAATAATAAAAGTAGAAAATGGCTTTGAAAATCATTTTTGTCAGATTTATTGAGGAGAGGAAGCTAACAAGCTAAAACATTTGAATATTCCATAAATAATGTAGGTATATTGTTATGTTGTTTGAATAGCAATATACATAATATAGGTATATTGTTTGTTTGAATAGTAATAACATAGGAATATTGCTATATTGTTTGAATAGTAGTAATTAATATAGCAATATACCTATATGTTTAGATAGTAATATGTGATATTGCTAGTTAGAATACTAATAAGTAATAAACGTATCTTGTGATATTGTTTGGATACTAATAAGTAATGTAGGTATATTATCATATTTTTTGATACTGTCATGAACTGACTTATTTTCTCTGAATTTTTACTTTTATTTCCTAAAATCATTTACTTTTTTAAGCTTTTGAAACATTGTTAAAAATAATATCAATAGAGAATTTTTTGTAAATCAATAGAAATGGAAAGATTAAATAGAAAAAAGTTTTAATTAATTAAGTTTTAGAATGGATTATACTGAGTACTTTTTTTTTTAAACATTTTTTTTATCAAAACTAGTCAATATTTATATGACTTGAGTATTGAAGATTTTACAAGTATATGATCAGCTGATTGTAGTGATTAATCTAATCTGTTTCCTTCTTTGATATTTGTTTTCTGCTTAAGTTCAAATAAACTTGTTTATTAATAAAAGCTGTCAATCACTCATCATATTCAAATTTCTCTTAGCTCAGCTTTTGTCATACCAAATACAAGTGCCATCTAGAATATTTAGGATGATGGGAATTTTTTAGTAAGCTGAAAATTATCTATTCTTGAAACAAAATGATCATGCAGTGGAGAAAATTATATTAAAACTAATAAGGGTAAGTTATCAAATAACCACCATGTGTGTGTTGGGGTGGGGAATAAATAAATTGTGCTAGTGTTTGTATTTAGTACACAAGAACACCAAAGCGTGGAGTGAAGGTAATGGGGCTAGTTTTTTCAAACCATATGCTAATAATAGTGTCTTGATTTTAATCCTCTTTGGGTACCTAATGCTTGGTGCCCTTGTGTCAGATGAAGTTAAATAAATATTTATATCCAAACTTTTTCATGGTTTTCAGTTAAACAAATTGTGACTTACTGTTTGGTACAAGATCACAGGTATTTTTTTTTTACAGGAAATGATGAAATTAAGGCCTGTAAATATTTATATCTAATGTTTCTCATGATCTTGAATAGTGTCATACTGATTTTTTTTTTCAGTTATGCATTAAACAACAGTAACATTATTATCATTTATTTTGGGTAAAAAACAACATTGTAAATCAGGAAGAAAATTTAGTTGCTTGATTTTATTTTAGTTTAAAATAATTAATTAATATAAAACAAAATAATAATAAGCTAAAACTTGAAGGGAGAATTTACTCTATCACTTGTAATAACTGCTACAAGTAACACACAGGCGAAACCTTAAGGAATTTAAATAAAAATTATATGAACACAAAAGGGATCTTTTACAAAACAACACACTCAGTGAGGCTTATGTCTACATTAAAACAGCTATTCCCGTATGATCACCAAATTTAAGTAACATTGAACTTGGTCAGTACATAGATGAGTGACTGTTTGGAAATATCAGGTGCTTTAAGCTTGGATGTACAGGTGATGTAATGGATAATGACTCAGAATTGTTAATTGGAGAGCTGAGTTCCAATGCC